ACAACTTTGTCTTTTCTCCCTCTTTGCCACTTGTGTCTCCGTTTACAATTTCCAATTAATAATTCATAAAGATTTCAGCTTCTTCTGTCTATTTTCAGGCCCGTGAAACCTCCAAGTCGATCCCCTTCTTGTGGAATTGCCAACACTTGTTGTTCAGAGTGTTTTTCTTGGCAATTTGTCTGCGAGCTCCATGGAATAAGCTCCATAAAATCGGGAAAGAGATAGCCTAGCGAGAGGAAATTTGTTTATGCTGCATGGTAATTGGGTTAGCAGCGAAGGAGCCACGCTGATGACGTTGACTTGCATCTGTCAGATGCAGCGGCGCATCCATAAGATACAAAATTCACGAAGTGCAGTAAATTGCCTCGGGCAGAGGAGTTTTTTTGTACGCTGTCAGCTCTTCCACTTCATTAGGAGAAATTGGATGAGCAGCAGATTTGGCTGATTTCTCACACATTTTTAATGCTTGCTCTTTTACGAGACCCCATTTGATTTATTCACATGATTACGTTTTTAATGGCCATGAATATTTTTGGTTTAAATGGGATTTGAGTGCAGATTTTCTAGACTGCAAAGAATTTCCTGCAAATGCAGAGGTATGGCATAAATCTCATACAAGAGAAAAGCGGAAAAGCGTTTAACATGCCTTGAAGTCACATTATAATAATTAAAGAATGAAAACGTTGCTAGCTTTGAGTAGCAAATTCTAGACCTATTTTGGAGTATTCAAGATCTTCTAAAAATGTCACAGACGTTATCATTTAAGAATTTAATGTATTTAAGGTTAAGTCAGATGCTAATTCATATTCAGCAATTCCAGCCCATTTTCCATTTAGATAATTTCCGAAACGATGTTCCACGGTAGCAAAATGGCACAACTGCTTAGATAAATCTTCAAATACAAGGTTTGTTGCTGCTCCACAAACCCAGCGAACTTAGCCAGAAAAACCTCATGCATAAGTCATAAGAAAGACAGTTTCAGGCGAAGACAGAAGCGATTTCTGTTTGATTTTATGTACTCGTTTCTTTTGCATAACAAACAAAGGTGACTTTTGTATGAGAGTAAAAATGGTAAATAGAAAACAAAAGTTACATCAGTTTGTCTGAGGTTTGTGGGCATAAATTAGCGTCAAACTGCAAAGAAAGAGGGAGACGGGGCTAGTGGGTGTGAATAAGGAGGACACATCTCACCTCTTTTAGCAGAACCGAAATGGAACGTTGCCCAGAAGTTTTGCCCAATTAGTGGAGGCATCAAAGCAAACACCCAGACGAAGTCAGTCAGCCAGGTTCAACGGCACGGAAAATCACCGCAGGCCTATGCTACAGTCCCTATTTCCTTTCCTACACTGAAACAAATAGGCACTGAGAGTGCATCCCAAGAACTTTAAGCCAAGTAGCCCTACTCAAACTTGGAACCGAGCTATATAAGCCTAAGCTAGGATCCTAGAGATTCAGATAGGAAGTCTAATCTTTTAATCAAGCTTTTTTGTGAAAAACACAAAAGTTAGTGGTACACAATTGTTTTCTGTGCACTTCTCCCTCAGGTTGTTCCTTCGTTTCGCCCCATTCTTGTTTCTTTTTTATTGATTTTCCTTGGGGCGTTTGCTGCCTTGACATTAATTTAATTGTTGTCAGCATCTTTTGAACTCTCCTCCCACTCATGTGTCAGCTGTCAGAGCGTGGTAATAAATTAAAAAATTTAGAGCGATTATGGGCCTGAACAGTTCAAAGCTCCAATTGATCTCTGCCGACCAAACTAGTTTCCTGCTCCAAGTTTGTAACTGAAATGGTATGAAATCACAATCGAATGGGCAATCGTGAACTTGGCATTGCCGAATCGCACTTGGCCCAATGACAAGTTTCTTTTTTATCCGTTATACGTTTCCTCAGGGGTCTTTTGGTCTCCGCGCTTGGCTTCTTTATCAAGATTCAGAATACTTGTCAATTTTTTCTCCAGTCAATTGTCTCTTTTTTGGTGAAAATCACGTATGTCGTGGGCCTCGTGTTCTGGAATAACGAAGTTAGGTCCGAAAAAAAATCGGGGTAGGCCTAAAGTGAAGTAAAATGAAGTCGCGAAAAAGTCACGTGCAAGTCCTTCGCGTTGGCTGTCCTTTTTTCTACAACTCTACCCTGCATTATGATGATGGATGTCACTGCAAGTCCTTCAATTCGGTGACCTAATTTACATTACTTTCTTGTTAGTGTCGAAATGGAATGAAAGATATGCACTTGGACACAAAAAGTTTTTTTTAAGTTCATATTTGTATCTTATTTATCACCATCTTTTTTTTTGCCTTTTTATTTAACTTCACTTTTCTAAGTTGTGACCTTCCCAATGTTCCTAGACACCATTGTTAGACACTTCCTGGCCCAAACCCACCCACAATAATATCAAAAACACTGGGCGTGAAGCTAGACAGGTACAGATAACATCCATTGCTACGATATTAAAACTGCTGACATGCCAAATTATCTTTCCAAATTAAAGACAAACACCACGAAGCAAGACAAGGAAAAATATCCACAGAAATAAAAAAAAACCGAATAAATGTTGAAAAAATTGGAAAGTGATAAATGGTTTGGCCTGGTCAGCTGGCCACATAATTGTTGTTGTCATGTTTGTTGCTTTTGTTAAGTTATTTGGCGCAATCTTTGCATATAAATTAGCCAGAAAATGACTTTTCAAATGGGCGAAGAGAACTCGAATCCAAAGAAACCGAATAGACCAGAACCCGAAACAGAACTCCCATTTGGTCCCGCATTTGACTGACAGACAGACAGGCGGCCAAGTTGATTTTTAACTGGGCTAACTGCGTTGGCCCCCTTTTCGGTGGCAGAAGAATAAGCGTTTCGGGGTCAACTAGCTGTAGCTCCCCAACGAAATGGAGATGAACACGAAGTTGCAGATGAGGATGGAAATGGAAATGGTGGCATAATGGGAGCAGCGGCAGAAGACACGAGTCTCAGACAACTCCGAGATAAATCAAAAATCGTTGGAAAGCCAAAGGGGCAGGGGTGTTACGAAAAATACCGACTAATGTTAGGCATAAATAATGCAGCAAGGGACAATGAAGCAGCCAAGGCAAGCCCATAAGCCCCAAGTAATTAAGTCAAAAATAGCCGAAAGTCAAAGGCATTGCACACGAAAAAAATATCATTAGGTCTTCTATTGTTTTTAATTTAATTTGTAAAGATATATCTCAAAGAGAGCTAATGAATAGGCACATTTGTGTATAATAGTCGGGTAGGAACTATAATATAACAAGAAATTCCAAGTCTTGGTAAAGATTCCAATAGTTTTCTTGCAAAACATTTTGATTTTGTTCTCTGTAGTAAAGAAAAAGTAAAGTCCGCCGGAGGGGAAGACAAGAAGGATTGTTGGGGTAATGAAGGGCGCCAACGGAAGTGTTTATGTTTTGAATATTATGTTTTTAACAGAGAAAATCCCAAAGTAAAAAGAGGAGCATAGAAAGAAAATTTTCTTGTGTGAGTGGAGGTGGGGGGTGCGGAAAACAAAGATATGAAAATCCCCTTTGATTGTCAAGTTCAGGAGACAAGAGAAATGGAAATTGTTTCTGTTTTGGCTTTCAGTTTTTTGTTTCTTTCATGTTTCACTCTATCCACCGACAAAGTGACAATGCAGCTTGGGGATAATTATTATTAACAAAACTGTGCCCACAGCCACGCCCCCAGTCAGGGACCCCAGTCCATTGTTTGCCAAGATTTTCCCCACCATTGCCTTGATGTGTCGCTCTCACAACCATAAAGCCATAACCATCCGCAAGGTATCAATTACCAGACTCTAATGCGAAAATAACAAGCCGCAAAGGAATGGCCAAGAAAATTTCAGATAATGGAAAGGGAAACGGGGGGAACTTGGGTGGTATCTAAGCTGAATACCTCGTAAGGCAGCTGACCAACAATGGAGCTGAGAAAATAGAAACACAACCGCCAGCGTAACATGAAATGCAGGTTGTCAAAAAAAAAATGTAAAAAAAGTTAATGAAATGAAGAGTGGGTGGAAGATAGAAAGTAGTAGAAACAGAACTTGTGCAATAAAGTTTTCCATAATGCCAATAGAATACTGTCAATCAAAGCTCTCAACAGACACTATTTTGTTCAAACTTATCGAACCAAAATGCGGTTTTGACGGACACGTTGATGCCATTGAAAAGATAAGTTTCCTGTGAAACTGATACTAAACTTGTCAATTATCAAGAAGTGCTACACTTCAAGACTGCGATTTAAACTTATATTTCCTTTTATTAAGTACTAAATATTTGGTAGTCTATTGTTGCCATGCAAACCTAGGATTGAATCGCATTCGTATACTTTAAAATTCCAGAAGCTTCATTTCTCCATCCAATTCACACCCAATCCATGCCTCGCAAACGCATTAACCAATTTCCATTTAGCCACACCTCAATGTAAAACCCTCAACTCATCAGGGCAAACATAAAGAAAATAACTGCATTTGCGGTGAAATTTGTTAACTGGCCAGCAAAAGTTGGCAATGAGAAGGGAAAACTGGAAAGCCGCTGGACGATGCACCCATTATGACAACGTCAGTCAACCGCAGCGACCAAAGGAATGTGACAACAGGAAAACGGCACAAAAAAAGAGAGTGCTCTTGCTTTGGGGGAAATAGCCAAGGGGAGCCCTCATCAAAAACGCATCTATCATTCGACAGATTGCACAAAAGCTACAAAGGTACTGACTGTGATCCAGCTGCCACAATTAGGCGAAAACCAGGAAACTGAGAATAGTGGCAACCCGATGAATGAGGAATGGAAATTGTAAAATTAAAATTAAATTAAAGAACTAGTTTTCGGAAAGCTTATAAAGTTTTCTAAATGCGAGTTGCTTACCCTTTCTCGATTCCCATACTTTCTATTTCAAATTATAGGTAATCAACTCTACTTACTCTTGGTTTCACTGAATAGGTTTTAAGTTTTTTAAGTATGTTTAAAGGGACTCCCCGCTTCAATTTGTCTACCTACCCAGCTGGAGATGATCCCTGGCTGGCGCTTTTGCCACCGCCCGTGTGAATGTGGCGCTGGGGGGGCGTGGGCTGGTGGTGGGGCGACGAGGTGGCCGAGACGGTGGGCGTGCCCCCGTTGGAGGAGGAGCTGCCACCACCCACTTGCCCCTGACCCGCCAATTTGCGCTTTGGTGATAGCTCCTGGGCATTCTCGCAGACATTTTCCGTGTTGACGACCTGCTCCAGCATGTGTATCTTCAGCATGATTGATGGATTTGATTGACTGACGTTGTTTTGATTTTGGTTTCGTATTTTTGGTTTTGAAGTATTTTTGGTATTGTGGTTTTGTTTGCTTATGGTTTTTCCCTTTAAATAGTTTTAGTTTTTCACATGGGTTCACTTCACTCTTTTCATTTTGCTGCTGCACAGGGGGAATAATAAATTGAAGTTAAATTTATAGCATGTGTTTTTCTCTTCCTTTCTTTCTTGCTCGCTTACTCGGTTTTTATCATTTCCCGATTGTTAATAAAAGTTCAGGTTGCGGTCACTTGAGCTTAATTTTCTCTACGCATGTTTTACAACCGTTGTGAAACCGAATTTTATGTGCCCAGCAATAAAAGAATGGAAATTTAATAAGTTTATGCTGCCCGACGTTATGGTCGTAAAACTCGGTAAAAAAAATCTTGTCTTCAAAAACAAAGAAAATCACTCAAAGGCAAATGAATGTGGATTCTGGGCGAGGCTTAAGTGCACATTATTAAAAAGTAATGCCGGGGCTGAAAACTCTGCCCAGCAGAGCGAGGAAAAGCGCGTGAAAATGCGTGCAAAACAGAGAGAAGACAACAAACAACCCGCATATGTTTTTCACGAAGGGAAAAGCCCGAGGCATAACCACTTGCCAGGGCAGTCACTTAGGCCCCATGTCCCCACCTTTTGGGAACCTTCAATAAGCCCTCATAAAGCGGCAAGAAAACTTCGTCTTGAACCTGCCTCACTGACAATTGGCTTAGGTCTAAAACAGGCCGAGGGAAATCTGAAAATTTCGTGAATGGTTGAGTCGAGAAAACCCCAACCCCCAAAAAGGTAATGCGATGGCGCACGTGTCCAAGTGCCGCCCCCACAGAAAACGGGCGAGATGATTTATGATTTACGGCATTGACTCAAGGCATCTGGCCGTCAAAAACCCATGGAGTTACTCCTGCGATTCCCGGATTTTCCGTCCCAAGGCCAGGCACCTCGCTTAAGTGGTAATGTGCGTACATAACGAGAGTTGTGAATGGTATTAGGGCAGATTTTTTGGCTGGGGTGGTGATAAGAGGGTTAGGTAAAGATAGACAAGCTAGAATTTGATGAAAGTGTGCCTGTTACGATGGAGAGGAGATTAGATGCACTTGCTTTAAGCCACTTATGGCTTGCTTAACTGTTCCGAGAAGCTACAGGAACAGGAGCTCGTAGCTCTTACTACACTGAGAGCATAGGTTCAGGAAACATTCCAAATCATGGATTTATTTTAGAAAAATAAATGCGCAAGCAATCGAAATGTGATAAGAAGCACAATAAGCATAAAAAATTCGAAAATTGAATTTGCTCATTTCCTACCTAACCAAACCTCTGCATTTAAACGTCCAAAGGAATGCTGGCTGAATAGCTTGTGTACATAAATGCGTAATCTTTAGCTCCATTTAATTGATTGGATTTAGCGTGCACGCATCCGAGCAAAATCCGGCAAATATTACCCAACTGATACGATTACTTCACTTCAGACCAATTGCGCCTCCATTGCCGTTGACCCAAATTGGCAAATCTCTGAATCTTCTCGGCAACATTTGGCAAATCACTTGCCCAGATTGAGATACCTCGCCGCTCGCTCTGTAATGCAATTACCCAATGTAAAATTAAATATATATACATATATATAATGTGTTTCGACTCAAATCGCATTAAGAGCAATCAAAATTTATACGGACATTTCTTTCAGCCTCAACACGCAACTTCCGTTGTTGCAAATTCGTCATTTCCGCAAAAACAGCAACAGGCACTCACTCAGGTGAGAATGATAAAAAATACACAAAAATAACAATAATGGCTAAAAAACATCATAATAAACTCAACTCGAACTGAAATTGAATTACGTAGCGTAGAAAACAATTTGCAAGCGCGAGTGCTAAATAATTCTTTGGGGTACTGTCGGCTGCATTATAAAAAACGCATATAGAATAATTTATTTAAATCAGGCTCAGCAACCGCCCCCAAGTCGGCGACGACAACCTTTTATGGTGTCATGCAAAAGTAAAAAGAGAAAAAATCTATAAAAGTGTTATATTCATTCATTTGTTGCTGCGCTTGTTGGCTGTGGACAAATTAATGTCAACAGAATAGGGGATCGCAGGGGGCGAAAATCTGGCGAATCGTGTGGGCTGCCGGGCTAATAGTTGATTCCAGTCTCTCAAAACCGCCCAGTGGGTGGCCTTTATCATGGATAAAAGTATGGAATGAATGGCGAGAATGCGGAGGAATAGAACGCAAGTGTGTCACCCAAACAATGATAATTTTTTTATTGTTGCTCATTCAATTTGGCATTTTTATTGATGTGTTGTGATCCGAGTTGCAAATGAAATTGTGCGGATTGCTTCTCGATTCATATTTTTGTTTTTCTCTTGCTTATTTTGATTGAGTTAATGAAGCCAAAACTTCCATTTTCAGACACTTTGAAGACGATATGTGGTTGAATAGCACAAAGTAATGTGAAGTCTATCGAACAAGTTGCGCACAACTGAAGTGAATAATTCGATTAGAATTTCGTAAATATTATTAATGTATCTTTTCGTATTTGTTGAATTTGATTTTGTTCGTTTCATTTATATTTGTTGGGCTCGCAAAAGTTCTGCTTCTATATACCGATTTCTTATAGATTATTATATTATACATTTCTTGTTTGTATTCTTGAATCACAAGTTTCCAGATATTATTATCCTAACTGGTTTTCTCGAATCAAAGTTTACTTTCTTTCTTTTATTTTCATTATCACCTTATCGCTCAACAATTAATCCATGATAAGTGTGTCAAGTGCTCGACATACTCAACATTCGACAGCCCCATTTTTTTTTAATTTTCCCCAACATCCCTCCCAAGTAATTGCGTAAACATTTCGCAATCAGATTTCAGTTAGCATTTTATGGTTATAACTTTGTGCCGATACGCCATAAACATAGTATTTGAGTTACGGGCCACCAGACTAAACCAACTATTAAGTCACCCAGTGGTATATGGTGTCTTATCGGAAATAAATAGGCGGGTTCTTATCAATATTCAAGTGAATGATATTCCAAGGGGGACATTTTGGATCATTTTAAGCCGCTGAATACACTCCTACAACATCCGGTTTCCACAGTTTTGCAAGTTCAAAGTTTTCTTCCGTGTGTGCACTTCCACATTTTCCTGTTAAGTGGGAGAATTTAGGACTGAAAAATTGGTTGCTTGTTACTTTGCTACACGTGTTTAAATATTTATGCCTTGACAAATTCTGTAAACAAATTTGTCTTCTGCTCTCCAGCTTGGTTTCGTATTGGGTTTTGTGTTATTTTTCTCGTAGCCTGGCTAACAAACATCAACAGCTGTTGGCAGACCGAGTTGCTCCGGTTTTCTATTTTTTTTGTGGGGCAACAACTTCTGTGAGAGCAATTCTAGTTGATTATGACTTCTGTTCTGTTTTTGTTTGGCGTCTGGTTTGGTATCGGTTTTTGTCGGCTGTGTGCCATAGGTATCTTATCTTATCGACTGCCAATTGGGCTCAATAATCAGCTTTTGGATGTGCGCAACCTTGACTACTACCAGTGAAACCTCCTTTCCAAATTCCACGGGGGAGTTACTTTATGTCGAACACGGAAAATGCTAGATATTTGTGCTTGTAAGTGAACTGTAATGGGAAACTGATGTAGCTGCTAGGAGTTCGAGATACTGAAACTGTTTCAAGATACAGCGTTTACACATGGTTTAATTTTTTTAACATTTTTATTGCTTTTAAGGACCGTAATGTAATAGAACTTTGTGGACTCAATGACTATGAAACACAATACACAATTATCGTTCTCAAATAATTTCTATTGTATTATAATAAATTGGGAAGAACCTTTAAAGTTTACTATCTTTAATCTTGGTACAGTAAAGATATGGCCAAAGAAATCCTTTAAAACACCTTGTGGCCATCTGGCCATAAAGTTTTGATTTACAACCCCTTAACCCTTGAATCCCCAAAAAACAAAAACTTCAAAGCTTTATTTTTGACAACGACCTTGGCTAACCTATAACAAATTTTTTAAAAATTATAAGTATCATCATGTTTTCGGTAGAAACTCGGACGCCAAAATGTATACTTTATTTTGGCACAGGTGCGAACAGGTCATAAACAAAGGGGTTCCCCCTTTGTACTTTATAGAAAAATCGAGGCAACGCCAATTAAAGTCAGCACTAAACGTAGAGGCAGACACTCCTCGCCGACCGCCCGACTTTTCCATTTCCAATTCGGATGCCAGCCATTTGGCACTGGGCCATGTTATGGGAGAAGCGGCGGCACACGCCCCATAAATTAAATTCGCGTGTGTTTTTCCACGAATAAAGAAGGGGAGGTGGAGGGGGATCTGCGGCAGTTGAGATAAGCAAGGGGCCAACACACAACGCATTGGCAAAACGGTAAATTTGCAGCAGCCTACAAAGGCCAAGTAAACCGATCGAAAGTAGACTTTAAGGTACCCACTACTTCTCGTTGCTTTAATCAGAAATATGTTATATTTTTATATAATGTATATACTATTTCATTTTAGGGCAAGCATCACTTAATTCATCCTTAATTGTTGTGTTCCGTAATATACTAAGCATATATTTAAACAATCTCTTGAAACCATTATCCCTAAACTTGTAGAGTTAACATACAGAAATACGTTTGAAAACTTCTATAAGCTGAACTTTAAGGCCTCAGTCTGCATACTTAGTCCAAAGGCCCAACATACCCTTGCCTTTTTGAGTGCTGGTCGTGAAAGGGAATCCAAAATCAATGCAGGCGAATGACACGGCGAGGCTTACCCGCTCTTCCGCCCCCCGTACCCACAACTCTTCCTGAGCCAAGCTTTTGTGCTGGCTGCACTTCAACTTGAACTCTCGAGTGGCGGCGAGAAAAGGGGGCGGCGAAAAGTGAGAGGGATGACAAGACAATTGATGGGCCAGACAGACGCAGAACGATGAATGGACAGCCGGAGAATCCGAGAAGCGGAGGTGGAGAGTCCGAGAATTCGAGAAGCGGAGAAGACTGAGGCAGTGGAGAATCAGAAGCAGATAGCAAGAGATGTGGCCAAAAAGCAGCTGTTTTCTTGGGATTGTTTTTCACAGCTTTCTGTTATTGTCCGTATCTTCACACCGAGCGACAAGGCCAATTTGCTTCCCGAGTTCATTTACATTCCGCATCGCTGAGGTTTACTTTACATCCCAAAGAGATTGAATGGGGCAGCTCTTCAACAAACTTCACCGCCCCAAAAAATAAATACAAAAAAACTGATATCTGTCAAAAGGCAAACATCCGATTCGGGCGGCGAGAATCTCTTCACGAATGGCATGAATATTTGATGAGCTGTCGTTTACCTTTTTCGCCCTCGGAGCAAACTGCAACAAATATTCGGAGCCCCAAAAATGCAACAGGCAAAAGCAAACAAGGGAAAATAGCAGGGTATCCAGGTGAACTCGGAATGGGAGCAGATTGCCAAAAGCGGGAGGCGTGCAACTATTTACCTTACGAAGCATGGATGCTCTTGAATATCGCAAATTTCATTTTAGACTTTAATGTGATTACGACGGTTAAGATTTCTAATAACTTTTTTTGACTTAGTTCTCCTTCAAATAATAAATATTTGACTGAATGATGATTATTAAACGTTAAATTCGCATATTATATGTACATATGTATTTTAATATGTATGTATTTTCTTGAATAAGCTACATTTGTACAATAACGTTTCCAATTAAATCAGAGTACAAAATGAAACAAACTTTTCCATATCTATGTCCGGTCACCTGGTGTCTATAAAAATATGATTTTGTTGATGGAGCGGCTCGAACAGCTCGTGTTACCCCGTTTTCTCGAGAGAGCAACTGAAATTCCAGAAAACTGCAGCTGGCAAAGCAGTGAAAACAGCAAACAACCAAAACAGCAGTCGCAAAACTCGCACACACATGCCAATAAATATTTTTGCAAGCTGCAGCAGCGAGACAAAAATCGAGAAAAAATTTAACGAAAATGAAAAGTCAACAGCAGAAAACACGGCAACACAAACTGAAATCATTTCAGGCCAAACCCGTTTCAAAAGCCAAAAAGAAATTCACGTGCTCTGCGAATTTACCATAAATTTTTTTCTTTTTGACCGCTGGCAATGCATATTAACAGCAAGACAACAGCAACCACCTTGATAACAGGCAGCAGCAAAGAATGGGAGGAGTAGTAGTAGAATAAGAGGAAGAAGAAGATGCAACATTGTCATTTAACGGGACAAGCGAACAGGGCGCAAAAAGAGGTGGAAAATGCGTGAATTTTAATTTGCATTTTTGCGAGTCGGAAACGAGAAAAATCGCTTTTCCCGATGGAGTTGGCTGGAAACTGTTCCACTTTCACATCACATAATATCTCTAATAAATCTCTAACTTAAATATCAGTTTAAGCATTAGGACGAGAAATGTTATCAGAAACGTGATGATTTCTTTGTTTGGCTTTCGAGGAGAAAGAAATTTGATGAGAGATCGAAATTCCTTTATGGGAAGTAATAAGCAATCCCGTTTTTTTTCTGAATCCAAAACAAACCTGTTGAGGTTCATGATCTTCAAGTCCCTAATAAAATTTGGAATTCACATTACCATTTCCAAATGTTGAGGTTACTTATAACAGCAATCACATCACACAACTTCCACATAAATCACAACAAATAAAGAAACACAATTTTAAGCTGATCGCAGGCAGATAAAATGGTTACAAAAACCAAAAATACACGTAATAATCATGCGTGACGCATTTTAATCGAACTCCAAAAACACAGAAAACAAAAAAAAAAGAAAACAAAAACTCAGGAACCGGCAAAAACGAGATGAAGAAAGAGAGAGGAATGAGACAAAAACGGAGCTTTTTGTGGTTATTTCTTTTCATAAGTATTTCTCATTTGTAGTTTCTTTTCAGGAGTTTAACATTTGTCAGTGCTGATTATGTTATTTCGTCATTTCTTGCACTTGTTATTGGATGGCATTTTCGTAATTGAATTGCACAAAATATTACGCACACAGTCTCACTTGTTTTCAACACTTTCTTCGCTTCTGCTTTTGGATTCTTTGCTCGTTAAATTTCAATTTCAGCCAACGATTTTTGTTTAACGGTTTCACTTTTAGCTACGTGCGCGTACATATGCATGTACACACATGTATTTATGCAGCCGTTTTTTGGCAGACTTATTTTGATTTCTATTTGTCTTGCCCATTTGACACCTTTGCCACTTTCGCTTCTAATTTTTTGATAAGGGCAACAAATGCGATTTCGTTTTGTTGTTACTCAAGCACACGCATTCAATTAAAAGTTCGTCAAACACTTTGTTTATTTATTGCTTTCGTTTTCTTTCTTTTGTTTAGGCTGCTTAGGAAACCGCCTCAGTGGTATCAATTGCAAATTAAGTGTTGAAGAAAGTTTGCGTGTTATGCTTAGCTTGATTTATTTTTTATTCACTTGTTTCAAGAATTCAAAACCATAAATCATCATTGGCTTAATTGGTTGTATCAAACTTAAAATATGTTTGATTGATTACCTAGCACTTTCACAAATTCGAGTATTCGCTTGTTATTGTTTACTCCGCTATTTAACAATTTTCTTGTTTGTTTTGGTTTTCCCTTTCGCGCTGCTCTTCTTGCCGTCAACTGTTGCTGTCGATTGGCAACTGCTTTGCGTTCTACCGTTACTTTTCGAGCAGCGAATGCAGAAGACGCAGCAGCGGCTGGACCGGAAACCCGAAATATATTACGATTCCTGTTCCGATTCCCGATTTTAGGATTTCGCGACGCAGACGCGCGACAACGCACACACACACGCCCGGTCGTCCTCGCACACGCACACACACAGTCGGACACTCGGTGCACGCACGCACGCCCACACGAGTTGAATCACAAATCGACACTGAGTGGCAAAGCAGAAAGCCCCAAACGAAAGTCTGCTTGGCCCCTAACGAACACGAATGCGAGCGACGACAACGTCGTTGCGCACGAAGCTCAGATTTCAGGTTCCACAGCCGAATGCGATCCACAAACTCCACAATGGGGGCCAAAATAGTAGTAGCTGTGGATCTGACAATGGAGAGTTTATATACATATATACACATATGGGTGCGACTAAATTAAATGCACCGCATAGTGAAATAATATATGACACGAATTTTTAAAGAATTCATTAAATGAAATCTTCATAGATTCTAAGTTATAGCATATTACCAAAAGACAAAAAAAAACTATATTATATACATACACTAAATTATTGATATTATTGATATCATATGTTATATTTCATGCTGCAGATGGGCATCAGTTTTATATAAATAAATATAAAATTTTGCGATTCGTTGTGCTATCGCTGTGCCCTTGACTGTACGTGCACTTTGCATTTTTGTTAAAGCGAGAGAGCGGAGTTTGTTGCTGTCTGCTCTCACTGCTTTTGTTGCCTTCATGGGGGCGAAATTCTTGTTTATTTACATTTATTTACATTCCAAATGCGCGCAGTTTAGGCAAACATAAAGAGTGTTGCAAGGGAGAGGGGAGCAGCCCGCATTAGCCAAAGTAAACAGTTTGGAAAACAATGCAATTCAAAGAAGCCGGCAATGCAGTTGCCAGTTAATTATTTGCACAGTGTACCCCAAAAGTATGCAGAAGGCAATGCTTTCCCACCACGAAGAGATAACCAAAACAAACCGAATAACCGGAACCGGCGTGGGACACGAATACACAAGTAAACAGGGGCACGAGTCAAAAACAGTCGGTGTTTTTCAGACGGTAGTGCACTCATTCCAGAACATGTTCTTTATCTACGAGTAGATATTTGGCTAATCCAATTTGGTAAGGGTCTGAAGGACAAATATTTTGCAGTCATTCTACAAACCTACCAGTTCAACGCATCTGTAAGCTTTCCCTGAAAGGCTTTTGGATGTTTTCCCAAGAAAGTTATCCATCGATTAAACCGCTCTTGAGTTATAAATGGTTTAACGTACTTTCTTTTTATATAAAGTTATGGTTTTGTTTATTCCATTTGTGGAAAAAGAAGCTCTTTAGAACGCGTTCCCGAAATTCCGACTGTGCCCACAATCCACAAGTGACGTCGGCTATTGCGGCGGCGTGATGCACTGGTTGCCTCATCTTTATCATCCACATGCTTGCCGATGTTTCGTGTTGGTTGGCGGCTGATAACGAACAGCTGATAACCACACGATAAACCGCAGCTGCGAGGGGCGTTTCGAAAACCAGAAAACAGATAACCAACTGTTGCATGCCCCACATTTTTGGGGCTACACATCAAAGTGAACCGCAAGGCAATGGATGCCACTTCTTTGGTAGTTTGTATGTAAACAGGTGTGGAATGCATGCATATATTTGTAAATTCAAGAAATATCTTGGTCACCATTCAAGTGATTTAGACGAGAAAGAAATAAAATTGATTTGGTTACGATGCGAAGGTAATAAATTGGTAAAAGCTTTCTTTTTAAACTAATTTTATATTCTTGATTACCTAAAGTTCTGATTGAAATTGAACGATTAACCTCATAAAAACATCTCGGAACTCATAAAAATACGTATTTTATTAATGAATGAATTAAAAAAAAAACCTGTTTTTATGATTAAGTGCACCTACCTTAGTGGTTCTGCCAGCATATCTATATTCTCGCAGCTTTCCATCTCCAGTCGCTGGTATTGCAATTGCCTAGCACTCGAAGTGCTCGATCTGCCCCCTGATCCTCCCGAATTTGTGGCCGAGTTGGATGAATGGCGTCGGTACTCGGCGAAACTCTCGCTCTTGCGGAGACCCGGAATTTTTCCGGAACTATTGCGCCAGTACTTGATCATCCGGTGTAGTGGCTTGGGCGAACTGGTTGCCGAGCTCGAGGCCAGTGATACTTCACAGCCTGCCACGATTATCGGATGGCCATGATCTACCAATGTCCTGTAGGAACTCATTTTTATCGCTGATACCAACTAAATGTTGAACTTTTTCTCTTGAGAAAGTTAGTTTTATTCATTCACTACTAACTTTTTTTTAGCTTTACTTCACTTCTTTGGTTTATTGTATTGCTTGAATTGTTTTATTATTTTGTTATTTTACTTTGCATTTATAAGCTGAATTAAAATATATGTTTTTATTACTTTCTGTATAGATTCCAGAATATATTATATTTTACTGTGCTTGCTTGCGCATGTAGAATTGCTACTCTTATCATTTATATTCCTGGCTTACACTTAGATTTATTATATCCACTCATCACGCAGCGTATCTATATTTATTAATTTAATATAAATTTTGTGTTTTTGCATAATTAAGAATTCGTTTGCTCTATAAATCGAGTTTCGTTGGGGTTTCGATATGAAGTCGCGACGCGCCGCCTTCGATTTTCCGACTGACCGCAACAAAGAATCGGACCAGAGCCCCCAGAAGCGACTTTTTAGAACCGAGCTCCATTATCTGGAGCGTTCTCCCTCGTTCGTTTTTGCTCTCTTTCTCTTTCCATTTCCATTGTTTTTATAACTTCGCACGTTTTATTGCAAAGTTTTTTTTTCTGAATTTACTTGTATTTCTTGCAATTTCATTATTTTAAGCATACAGGGTGATTCTGATCTTAATTGAGCATATATAAGGCGATCACATTAGGCAAAATAAAATGTTCTCAGAACGTACCCCGCACATAATGTTTGAAAATGTGATGTTGTAAGGCTTGAAACGTGTTAATGTTGTATTTTTAATAATAAAAAACAACATCTTTTTATGGTGAATATGACTTACTTGATGCGAATCAAAAAGTTTTGTGTGAACTTCAAAATATATTATAAATTTCGTTCTATGTTTGTTAAATATACCACTAAAGAAATGGAAATTGATTTATTTTATAAATTTACTAGGTATCTTTCCATTCTTAAGGGCACTATAACCGTTTTTACTAGTTTTGCATTGTATTGCAGTTTTAATTTGCTAGCGATAAATGACCGAGCTGTGATTCCGCTAAGTCAGCTTATTTTTATTTTACTGCTGCCGATATAAAAACGATGTGTAATTTGTACATGTAGAGACGTCTTTATTTAATTTCATTTATCGTTTCCAGCTATCAGTGATCTCACGGTTTTGAGATCCGCCCCCTTTAGCACGCCCCATGAATAGAAACCATTGTCTAGTTCAATGCTCCAATCATTCACCATTCAGACTTTGGTTAATTAATTAAACAATCCATCAAGATTAAATATTATCAGTTTCTTACACCTTCGTTTGACATTTTCAGGTGCTGGGAACAACAAATGCCCATAATAAGAGCTAATTTTACGCAGATTTCCCCATTCCAATGCCACTTGTTATAGGAAAAAGTAGCGTAGGGCCAACTGTGAAATATAAATGTATCATCGATGCATCAGTGAGTCAAGCTGGGTTTACGATTCTGCGGGTCACCGCCAAGAACTTTAATGGCTCTCGAAAAGAGGGTGATAAGGAAACAGACTTCGGGGCGTCCCAGTATGCACAAAAACGGACAAAACGGACGGAGAATAAGTGCATTAAGAGTATAGAGGATAGATATTGAGGGGGATGGAGATAGTGCCGACGAAAAGTGGTTCCACAACTGCTAAATGCCGCTGCAATCGAGTTATCAAGTAATCGAATATCCAGCAAATCAGATAAATGGAACATGCAAAACAAATCGTTCGATAAGAGAGCTGGAAATATGAAAATTATAAAAAAGAAAGCAAGTCGTTGTAGCTTGCTTAAGATACCCTTTTCAAAAAATTCATACGCATCGATAAAATAATATCTTTGTTTACAAATATTTAAAAAATAAATACTTCTTATCTTATAACTTTTATAACTGCATGTTTTTATTATGAGACTTCCTAAATGTTTGACCCAATCATATCCCCCTTATCGCGATCTCCTATCTAGAGAGTATCAAAACCGACTTAAAATGAAATCGAAACCCCAAACCGAAACCGAGTTCACAGTTGCTACTGTAACGGTTTCGGCCACGGGAAAGTCGAGTAAGATTTATCATGACATTTCCTTGATGACGATACTCAATCGCAACCTCCCCCCGACATCATCCCCCAGCACCCACCACCCCCCTGAACACTCAAGCTCCGTGTGTGCGTTGTCAAAATTACATTAAAGCGGAAATCGCATGCTTCGCTTCAGTGCCAATCGAAAGAAGACAGCAAACTGACCGCGGAGTAGAAAAAACTCGAGCTGCACTGCCCGCAGTCTCGGATAACTGCACTGAGCAAAACTCCATGCTTGTCTAGGTGTTCTTAAAATTCTGCTCAGTTTTTTATTACAATTCTTTGAAATATATTATAAAATAGATACAGATTATACAGAATATGTATATTTACTTTATTAGAGTTATACAAGTTCATTCTATACAATCGTAAAGCATAGAAGCAGGAATAAGCTCAAGTTGTTTATTACAATTTAAAAAAAACAGATGGTGAATATTTTATTAGAATTACACAAGATTATATAAAAGGCGCAAGTGTTCTGAAAGATGCATGAGCCTTTTCTCGCTTCTGTGTATAGAATTCTATGAATTTTGGTAACCAATTTTAAACTATATATTTACATACATATCTATTAGCAATGATTTTTTCCTGTATATAGGAAGGGGACGGAAGGGGGCTGTGGGTGCCGGCACGCAACACCCGCGACACTCGACGACATAAATCAGGCTCAAAGAAAACCTAGTGAAAGAGTTGGGGGCGACTGTAAGGCGAGACACTTGCATTTTGGCTCGTCGTTTTTTGAGGGGTTTGAGGCAAACATGTCCAAGCTGTCGCTTGTATGCCCCTCTTTATCGGCCCCCCATTCGCCACAAAACTACTCAGCACCCCCTTCGACTCCCTCAATACGCGAAAATGTGCGTAACTGCGAGAAACGTAACACAGGCAGCCGCGAAGCACGCAAACTTTGATCTACACGGAAAGAAATTAATTCCATTTGAACGTGGAGCAAATTTTTGTAATATAACTCTTTTTCTCTATTCTAAAAATTAATTCTATTAATTAATTAAAATTAATCTTATGTCCACCGATAATTGAATTTTCACATTTTGAATACAGTATGTAATATTTGTTTTATCAGTGCACATTTGAGCTGGATCTGACGTTCAAGTTGGAGAAGGAGTCTCGACTGAGTTGAAGACTGAGACTAGCGAACATATTTCATTCCACGGACATGAGACACGAGACCGCGGCTTTAATTGACATGTGTTCATTAGAAGAAACACAGGAATCGGGTTTGTGAATGGAAACGCAGGGGGTTCGGAAGTATGTGTAGCTGTGAAAAGTGTGCTCCACTTGAAGGCATTACAAAAACATAAAAAACATAAATAACAATTTTATTGGATTTGTAGCTTAAAACAGCTCAAGGACTCAGCCTGGAAAAGCTGAGTAGGTTACCTTAATCTAAGAAAATACTAAGTACGAAACTGAGTATCGAAGATGGTAGAAAAACACTCACAATTCCTATTCATTTCCTATTCATTTAAATGGCCATGCAAAATCGCTGCTTTTAATTAAATTAGCATCAAGTCTAATTTCTTACGTTCCTGCTAATGTCCGTTCAGTCTGCAGCCGCATTTAGAATGAAGTACTTGTGTAAGTGGTCAAGAAAGTCGTACATTACTCCGTACATTAACAATTCAGAATTATACCCTCAGATCTGCTTTTGCTGGCCTCCTCAGTGTCGAGTCTGTTCTGGGAGGATTTTTATCGAACTTTGGCATCGGAGAATGCAGAAAGGAACCTCATTTATTCGCCGTTGTCCGTTGATATTATGATGGGCATGGTTTACATGGCAGCAGGCGGAAACACGGCGCAAGAATTTAGAAACGTTTTCAAATTATCAGAGAACAAAAGTCAAGTGGCAAACAGCTATCGTAAATTGTTTGCCGGCATTAGGAGCCGCGAAAAGGTCCTTTTCCTGCATATAGCAAACCGGATATATGTCAACCGGAAATATCGCCTTGTACCTGAGTTTAATGAGGTGGTACGGAGGGCCTTTAAGGCCAAAGCCAAGTCTATCCGCTTAGACGGTCCTGTCAGCGCCTCTTTGATAGTCAATAGCTGGATACTAAATCGAACGCGAGGCATGATCCGGAACATAGTCTCACCTAGCGACTTGAATCCGGATACAAGTGCGTTTCTGGTGAATGCAATCTACATGAAGGGCCAGTGGGTGTTTGACTTTCAGGCCGACCAAACTCATGAAGCCGACTTCCAAGTATCACCTGACAAAATCATTCAGGTGAAGATGATGACTTTGTCAGCATCCCTGTTCTCAGCAGACCTGGAAGACTTGGATGCGAAGGTTATCGAGCTGCCCTACCGAAACTCAACTCTTTCCATGCGCATTTTTCTGCCCAACAGAGTTGATGGCCTAAGAAAATTGGAGGAAAATATTGGGCTTCTAAAGCCTAATCTGCAAAAAAATTCCGTAAATGTCAAGCTGCCCAAGTTCAAAATCGAATCTAGCGTACAGCTGAAGGGGATTTTAGAAAAGGTTTGTATATTGGTAAATATAAACGACACCTTTTTCATACCTTTCCTCAGTTAGGCATTCGTGACGTATTTAAGCCCACAGCTGACTTGAAAGGGCTAGTGCTAGAATCTGGTGCTAAGATCGATAGAATTGTGCAGAAAGCCTTTCTGAAGGTCGATGAAAGGGGTGCCAAGGCCTCAGCGGCAACAGGTACTTTGTTATTACCCCGGAGATACACGGCATTTACGTGATTTGCTTATCTTTCAGGAGTTCTAATTCGCCCAAAAAAATCAATTGACAATATGAAACTGCCTCCAATGGAGTTCATAGCTGATCATCCCTTTTCCTACGTAATTCATGACCACGATGTCATTTACTTTCGGGGTCACATCGTCGAACCACACTGGTAATCAAATGCCAGCAAAATTGTATTATATTATATTGTCTTATAATATGAACCAACACTTTACCATAACATACTTTCCAAAGCATTTTCAAGTCTAGAGAGTATTTAGTGAATATTGAAAACTTGCACAAAGTTAACAAATATTGAAATACCCAAATATTGGGTGCAACAGGCATTCGCTGATGATGAAATTCAGGGATTATACACCTATCTAAACGCTGTGAAGAGGCCGCAATCAGTATCAGCATACAAATTTCTACTTTCCACCGATTGAACATTTCTAGGTTTTTGGAACCATTTGGAACCATGTGGGCCCGGTCAGATGGGCTTAACCTTTTGCCTTATCCTCCATTCGATGTAACTGCTAATTGGCCTTCGACGACAGCCAAAGGAATGACGTCCGAAGAGTCCGACCAGCACAGCTGTTTGACCTTTTGGCCTTAGCGGAAAAGGCAAAGACAACGACGTCGATAAAACTTATAGGCGCCCATAAATTAAAATGCAAATTAAAAGACGGCAGAACGAGATAGAAACATTTAATTGTACTGAGCAAAAATTAATGTACTGCGTTGGAGGTGGGAGAGGCAGGCCAATAATTATCACTGTCGTTTTTTATCGCCTTAATTATGACCAATATTTGGGCAATAAAATTATTCGTCGATTCAGGCAAGGAAAAGGTCGAACACAAAGTTACCAAGCAGCGTCATCATTCTTAGCCCAGCCAAAAAGTTTTAATTAAAAAAATTGTTAACTCTGATATGGCAAGGAATAGAAGCAACTTGCGAAGATATACGTGAAAATTCCGCTGGTTTTTGCTGGACACGCGACAAATTAGAAGGGACATGACTGTCAGATGGATTTTCAGTTCTAGTTTCCCGACTCTTAATCCCTGCCAGAGTTTTCCCTTCCAGAATCTTGGTAAATCCGAAATCAGCTTAAATTTAATTTTTGCGCTTTCCTTTGCGCCGAGAATGAAAATGGCTGGATAAAGAAGGACACCGGAAGTGAGGCCAGGGGCTGTTTCCTTTGGTTCTCAGCGCTTAGAAATGCCTGGGGCTATGAAAACTTTGCTTAGCAAACTTCTGGCTTCCCTCCTTGGGGAATTTTATTGAGACAGGTTGGATTTCGGAATATAAACAGGGTGTTCCATCAACGGAATCTCAGAACCTTAAATTCTGATGTGATATTGTACTAAAAAGTTATAGATTTCATACCTAAATAAAATGACATATCCTAATGTTATGTTATGTTCATAATTAATTGAAATAGACCTGCTTTTACCAAACAGTATTTAAGTAATAAATATTATTTAAATATTTATTATTTTTATTAAATAATATTATTATAATTTTATATTTAACTTTTGAACAATACAACTTTGTGCAAAATACACATGCAATGAAATGAAGGCGACGGTTGTCGATTATTCAAAGTTTGCGATAAACTAATAAGGGGAAAACAGAAGTTTTTGGCCATCTAATTTATGAGTGGCGAGGCCTGAAAGAAAAAGACAAGGTTACGAATGGTTAGAGGTAGAAATTAGAGGAGTATCCATGCAGTTAACAAATTGCTTAGCTAAACGATTTGCTTACAAGTGCGCAACTAATTAGGAATATGGAAGACACAAGAGCTCGTGTACAAGGACACCCCCGCACACACACGTGCCACAAGTGGCAGGGAAAGAAGAAGCAGCCGCAGGATTAATGAGCTGCCACATGAAGCACTTTCAACGCCAAATAAAGGAACGACAGACAAATGTGGCAAACAACTTAATTTAAACGCGGAGAAATTAAGGAAATGCACTCGGGTTGGGTTGAAATAATTAACAAACTGTCGACGGTTCGGGGTTATCTATAAAGCAACAGCTGTCTTCAAAGGAAACGCATTTAAATTTACAAACAGTAAAAAATTGTCAAACGCCTGACCAACGCCTACGTGTTTTAAGGACCTTTTAATATCCTTATCTCGGGATCGTCGCAAATGTTGCGTAACTAAGTGCGGTGCCTTCGGGGCACACTTTTCACCCCTCCCTGCCGATCTTTTCGTTTACCTGCCCTCAAGAGATTTCTTAATGTTGCATCCGATGGATAGATCGCTGGAAAAGATAATCCATTTGCGACTCTATCTCAACCTTAATTGAGTTGTCGGCACAGGAAAAGAAGAGCGTATTTTCAAACACTTCTTTTGACACTTTTGCTGAGCATTTGAATGAGATCCTTTGGACATGTGGCCTCCTACCAGTTGAAGCGTGCCAGGAAGCGCAGGAAATTGAGTTGTGAGTGGAGGAAAAGTGGATTGCGAGGGAGTGTCATAAAGGTAAGAAAATGAGGGGGTTTTAGGGAACCGATTACCAAGAATCGAAGTTAAGAGAAAACACTTCGAGGTGGAGAACTTGAAGAAGTTCAAACTGTTTGAAAAGCGGTTCCCTTACTGTCCACTTTTTCTGTCATACGTCCATCATCTTAATTGCTTCTAAATATTTTAGGCCATCCCTTTAAAGTGGAGAAGCCTTCAAGGCACGACCAGACAGTTCAATGCAAAATACTTGCCATCGAAGAATCGATTAGGTTTTGGAAAACCCGTGACCTTGCTAACTCTAGAACTGCGCCAGCTGTCAGTTCTACACTCATAACTTGTTAAATTCAAAACTCATTGAAAATCAATATACAAATGTCGAGTAAAAGCTAAAAGTACAGTCACTGAACATGAATGCCTTGACCATGAGGAGGGGCAAACGAAATGCGAGTAGCCAAGGGGGCATCAATTACTTGCGCACAATTTGCACACGAAATGACTGCAATTAGCAGAGAGACACCTGCCAAATGGAAGCTCACCTGAATGGGTTGGGGCTAGTTCGTCATGAGTTCCGCTTTTTTTATAGGAAACGAAGCGGGGGACAACTAGGGCAGAGCCGAATAGTTGACCCCGTTTATAAAATAGCTAAGACTGGAGGAGGAAGTCAAGTTTCCTGGCCATTGTCACGTGCTGAACTCGTTTTTGAAGGGGGATAAAATGGGGTTAAAGTGAGGGATCTGAGAGACTGAAAACGTGAGAGTATAGGATTAATAGCTTTGACACATTTGCGAGTGACAACTTGAATACTAGCAGTCAGCTAATCCTTAAACATAACATTTTTCTGTGAAACCCAGTCGCAGTACGAAGTTTGTTTTGTATCTCTTTTTGTATCTAAATTAAATGAATACCAAGTGGATCAGAGGAATAACTTTTCTTATCCTGATAAAAGTCAAATGTGACTAATAAAATAAAACAAATTCAGGCCTTTCATCGCAAAAGTTTCGTCCTATTAATACTTCATCGAGAAAATTGTGTCACCTAACCAGTCGCCAATACCACCGCTTTCACTCCTCATTCAAACAACTTGTTTACAAGACAAAGTTGGAGAGACGAACTGAATGTTCTGTCAAAGGAAAACAATTCAATTTCCCGTGGAAAACCAGAGCACATAACTGTGGATGTCTTCAAGGAATGGAGTGCGTGGGTGGAGACAGGGTGACCCAAATCCGCAGAAAGCGGAAATGGAGAATATCAAATAAAAATGCAAAAATAAAACTAAAAGCAGCCATAAAAGTCCAGCTTGAACACTGGAAAAAGCTCGCCGCTTAATGTCGAATATAATATATGAATCGGAATTGATATACATCAAATTTTAGTTTGTAAGTGAAACTAAAGATCGAATAGATTTCAAAATGCGGCACTTTTAAAGGTGCTATTTTAATTCCTTATGTTGCTAAGATTTTTTCATGTGAGCCAGCATCGGCAAGTGCTTCAAATCAGTTGAGCAAATAGAACCAGTTGTGTGAGGGGTCGGAAAATGGGGAAAATCTTGACGGCTTTTAGGTCATAGCGGGACAGTGGGGTGGACCCTGCCCGACTGTCTGCCCAGGATTCATAAATAAAACAAAGTGGCGCCAACGTGCGACGAAATGACGCGTCGCCAAAGTATCTGTAGCTGGTAGCTTCTTCTTGGGTTTTCCCCAATTCCTTTGGCTTTCCACTTCCCGATTGTTATTCATTGGCTTCACTTGCCATAGGACCGCGTTTAGTTTTTCTCCCTCTTTTTCGCTGACCCAACTCCACCGAATATCGATTTTCTGGATGCTACATTTGTCTGGCTTTTAGTTTTTCCAGCTAGCGAGCGCAACTAGTTGCGGTTTTTCCGCTACTCTCCCTTTTCCTTTTGAAAAGCACTGCTACTGCAATAAGGAACAATTGTGGGTGGAAATTTTTGGCCCGGAAAACTGTGGAAAGCGTATTGATTGTTTCCTCGATAAGCGAATGTCGCGCAGCAAGGAACCAAACTTTTTCAGTCCGCGGTAAATTTCGCTATAGTTGGCCACTTGATGTGGGTATAGTTTACGAAAAACTTTTTCGAAAACAACTCAATTTATGTGGCTTTAAAAACCAAGGCAAATAGAAGCAACTAGACCGGGATCGCTAATTTTCTGCGCTGGAATTCGCCAACTTTCGTTCGAATGTACAAACCAAAAAACCCCCTTTTCACATTCTGATCCACCACTGGTATCAAGCCATCTTTTATTATCCCACAGCCCCTCAAAATGCAAATTGCAATTTAAAAAGCGGACAAGAATCGATGGCGAATGCAAATTTATGAGGGAAATGTCCTTGAAGCCATTTAGGAATCGAAATTATTCATGCCCCCTCGTTAAAGTGACAAACATCAATCCGCGCACCCCCGACCCCGCTGATTAAATCGGGAAATGCACTTTTTGCCATTAAAATTTATGGGCTTGGGTAAAGAAATGGGTTCCGAAATGCAAAAATGTGCAAAAATTATAGCGGGGCGGAATGAGCATCCTATTGAGCGGCGTGGAGGGAGGGGATGACTGCACTTCGGGGGGTGGCATGCAAATTTCTGTCAACCCTGATGAGGTAATTTAAGTGTACGGACCAAACACACACGTTTTTCCCAGTTTTTACGTTTATTTTTATGTACCCTACTTTAGGATACATTAGTTTTTGAAGTATGAGGGAAAGATATAAAATAAAATATGCTCTCTATGAAAATGTGAATTTTTCGTAATCCTACTTATT